CTTCTCCTCTCCCCCACACCCATCAGTCCTCAGTTTTGTTCTCAGCATTCAAGAGTCTCTCATGGTTTGCCCCCCTCCCTCTTCCCAACTCTTTGTCCCCTTCTTGATGGTTCAAGACCTTGGCAGCCTTCACATATGTTGTAGATTGGTCTTGGGTTAATATCTAGATGATACAGCACATTTGTGGGAATAAAAAGAATATCTGCTACTCTTCACTTAGGGGAAGCAATCTTTCTTTCTTTTTCTTTTTTTGAGTTTCTGTTCATCAATTTTTTTTCCTAAATAGTTTATTGTCAAGTTGATTTACATACAATACCCAGTGCTCATCCCAACAAGTGCCCTCCCCCATGCCCATCACGAAGTAATCTTTCTTACAGAGAACTCAGTCACCGGTCAGGGCATTCCATGGTGAGAAAAATGTCCATGGTGAGAAAAATGTAGGCTACATTTCAATGCCTACTCTTCCACCTGAGTGGCCAGGTGCAAGTAGGAAGGGCGGGGAGGACTTCAAACAGCAATTAGGGTTGAGATATTCATTCTCCTTGCTAAGGTATCCTATTTGACATGGACTTGTAAGATCCTGTGGTGGTGTATTCTGTCACCCCAAACCTTCAGTTCACTCAATGTTTCTTCTCATGGTGCAGTTTATTTCACACACTCAGCAAAGGGGAAAACCTCCTTAGAAACTCACAGATTACTTGCTTTTGTGACACCTATCAAGAACAACTTTGTTATAACTAACTTTAAACTTCGTCCTTATCATACCTGCATGTATGTTTCTTTATCAAACACCAATGGTTATTTCAGTGGTGACCTTTGTCCTGTAAAGAAATGAAAATGATGCATCTGCATGACTCAACTATAAGACATTCTGTAAATACCAAACTTGCTGAGAAAATAAAATAATTGATGATTGCCACAGTTTCCAGGAAGAGAAAGTGTTGAATATTTGGAATACAGAGTACTTTTAGAAAAACGGTGACATTCTATATTATTGTCTAATGGTGCATACAAGCAATTATCGTTTTATCCAAATTCACAAAATGTACAACACCAGAAGGCACAATAATGTAATCTCCGAACTTTGGGTGATTATGATGTGTTAATGTCTGTTCATCAATTGTAATAAATGTACCACTCTGGTAGAGGAAGGTGATACTGGATGAGACTATGCATGTGTGGAAACAGAGAGTATATATATAGCTTTCTCTTAGTTTTTGTGTAAATAAGTGCCTTAAAATTTTAAAATGTTTATAAAACATTGGATTTATCACATGAGCATATAAAGAAGGGTCTCTCTATCTGCACCACCTGACACCTGATGAAGTACTAGGCCATAATGACAGTTCCACACTTCCTGATTGTAAAGTTTAAACAATAATCCACCATCTAGGAATAAAAACTAGGAGGGTAAAACATTAGAAAATATCATTGAAATCAAGAGCTGGCTTTTGAGAGATTTTCAAAATGATAAAACTCAGTTGAAAACAGGATAAAACTGAGAGACTGAGCTAGACTGCTCAGGAAAAGGAAGAAAAGAGGAGCTCCTGGGTGGCTCCGTCAGTTAAGTCATCAACTTCAGCTCAGGTCATGATCTCACAGTCTGTGAGTTGAAGCCCTGGATCTGGCTCTGTGCTGACAGATCAGAGCCTGGAGCCTGATTCAGATTCTGTTGCCCCCTCTCTATCTGCCCTTCCACTGTTCACATTCTGTCTGTCTCTCTCTCTCAGAAATGAATAAATATTTTAAAAAGGAAGAGAAGTCTAAAGTAAATAAAATCATAATGAAACGAGGAGAAATAAGCCAACAAATGTAGATGCAAAAAATTATAAGAGGATATTATTAAAAATTAAATGCAAACAAATCAAACAATATGGAATAAATTGATAAATCATGAGAAAATCTTCCAAACTAAATCAGTAAAAAATAGAAAATTTGAATGGATCAATTATTGTCAAAAAATTGAATAAATAATAATAATAAACTCCCAAAAGGCAAACTCCAGGACTATATGGCAGTGATTCTTACAAACATTTAGGAACAGTTAATGCCTATTATTTTTAAATAATCCCCCAAAAATTAGAGGAGGAAAGAAAACTTATAAATTCATTCTATAAGGCCAAAATTACACAGATACCAAAAGCAGATGACAACACTAGAAGGAAGGAAGGGAGGGAGGGAGGGAGAGAGAGGAAAGAGGAAGTGAGGGGGAGGAAGGGAAGGAGGAAAGGAGGAAGAGAGGAAAGAAGGAAGGAAAGGAGATATTCTCAAAGTGCTGAATGGGCTTTCCTGCTGCTCAAAAGGATGGGTGAGAGCGTTAAGATGGCAGCATAGTAGGAGAACCACAGACATGCTTCATCCCTTGAACATAGCTAGGTAATTATCAAATCATTCTCAATACTCAAGAAATTGACCTAAAGACTGACAGAACAAAATGCACAACTGAGGGAGAGAAGAGGCCACTTTGAGGAAGGTAGAAAGTGCAGAGACATAATTTGGGAGAAGAGACAGACTGAGGATGCTGCAAATGAGAGGGAGTTCTGTTCCCAGGGAATGTCAAGACAGAGTAGAGTGCATGGGATGCACAAAAGATGAATACTTCCCCAAAGTTATTGTCTAAGAAAATGAGAACAGCTAATTTTCATGAAGTTTTGCAACCATCAGGGCTCAAAGACTGGAATTTTAGAAGACGCCAGGCTTAGTTGGAATAGAGTCCTGAGGACACTACCCGACTCCTAGAGAGGAGTCAGGCAAACAACCCCAGGGGCAGAGGGCACAATCTGAGGATTGCCTAAATGCACTGGGAAAGACTTAACTCTTCTTGGAGTGCATCTGTGAGGGTGGCTTTGCCTCTCTGGTGACAAAAGAACCAGCGGGCATCATTTACTCACGCTCTCCCTCAGTCTAGCAGCAGATATACCTGCTGAGGGTGGCTCACTCGGTCACAGGCTATTTAGCCAGCTTGTTCCAAATTCCATGACTGTGCACTATGGTACAACTTCTCGTACCCTTCTAGGTCAAACCTGCATCACTCCCATTGAAATGAGATCCTTTCGCAGAAAATCAGTGAAGGTCACTGCCAAACCAGTTCCCTGAATTTTTTATTTTTTTATTGTTGTCGAGCTCAGCATTTCATTTCATTTCATTTCATTTCATTTCATTTCATTTCATTTTATTTTATTTTATTTTATTTTATTTTTAAATAGTTTATTGTTAAATTGGTTTCTATATAACTCCCAGTGCTCATCCCCACAAGTGCCCTCCTCCATGCCCATCACCCTCCTTCCCCTCCCCCCCACCCCCATCGGTCCTCAGTTTGTTCTCAGCATTCAAGAGTCTCTCATGGTTTGCCTCCCTCCCTCTCCCCCCATATTTCCCTCCTTCTTCTCCCCCATGGTCCTCCGTTAAGTTCTTCCTAATCCTTCTATATGTGCAAACATATGGTAGCTGTCCTTCTCTGCCTGACTTATTTCGCTCAGCTAAACACCCTCAAGTTCCATCCATGTTGCTACACGTGGCCAGATTTCATTCTTTCTCATTGCCATGTAGTTGATTTTTAAATATTTATTTAAACTCAGGTTAATAAATAATGTAGTATTGGCTTCAGGACTAGAACTCAGTGATTCATCATTTACAAATAACACCCAGTGCTCATCCCCACAAGTGCCCTCCTTAATCCGCATCGCCCATTTAGCCCATCCCTCATCCACTTTCATTCCCTCAACCCTCAGTTTACTCTCTGTATTTCAGATTCTCTTATGGTTTGCCTCTCTCTCTGTTTTTTATCTTATTTTTCCTTCCTTCCTCTATATTTATCTGTTGTGTTTCTTAAATTACAGCATGAGTGAAATCATATATTTGTCTTTCTCTTACTGACTTACTTCATTTAGCATAATACACTTTAGTTCCATCTATGTTGTTGCAAATGACAAGATTTCATTCTTTCTGATCACCAAGTACTATTGCATTGTATATATATCTGTCTATCTATCTATCTCTCTATCTATAATCTATAGAAAGATATGCCATCTATTTATCTATAGATATATAGATATACCACTTCTTCTTTATCTATTCATAAGTTGATGGACACTTGAGCTCTTTCCATACACTGGCTCTTGTTCATAGCACTGCTATAAACATTGGGGTGCATGTGCCCCTTCAAATCAGCATTTTTGTATCTTTTGGATAAATAACTAGTAGGTAGATTGCTGGGTCAGTTATGCCAAATCCCTTCCCTCCATGACTGACAACGGCTTACACTCACCTACAGAGGTGAGAGTACAATCTGCAGTCTTAACAGCAGCCAGAGCACAGAGAACATAGAGAGATAAGTATAAAGTGCAGGGAGAAACTGTTGCTCAATTAAAATTAGATGCATAGCTAAATATCTTGAACAAAAAGAGCACTTGAATTTAAGAATATTGCATATTAATAAAGAATACTAACATTGTACTAGGTGCCATAGTAGTGCTTAGGGTATAGTTTTCCTGTATAAAGAGCAAATTTTCCTTAAGGCACTTTGAGAAATAAAATGAAAGATAAAGGAAATTGTAAACACAGGAATATTGAATCTTCCTTGATACTAAACTACAGAAACTGGAGTGTTCTTGCCATCACAAATTTTAAAAATATTTAGAAAAAATAGGGGCGCCTGGGTGGCTTAGTCGGTTAAGCGTCCGACTTTCACTTAGGTCATGATCTCACGGTTCGTGGGTTCGAGCCCCGCGTCGGGCTCTGTGCTGACTGCCAGCTCAGAGCCTGGAGCCTGTTTCAGTCTGTGACTCCCTCTCTCTCTGACCCTCCCCTGCTCACGCTGTCTCTCTCTCTCTCCTAGAAATAAATAAAACATTTTTAAAAAATAAAAATAAAAAAATAAAAATATTTAGAAAAAATAAAATATACTTTTAAATTACACTTAAACTAAAATTAAATTTTTAATGTTTTATAATTAATTACTCTATCATTTGAATAAAATCAAAATAATCATTTTTCAATAACTATTTCATGAATAAGCAATTATAATTAGATTGTAATTTTCCAACATTTCTGAAACACATTTTTATCCTTTTATCAGAACTGATTAGTACTAATCCACTAACAGTGGCATAGACATTGGACACAAGCTTCTGGACATCCAGGATGACTGGGTCATATGTCCACAACAGACTTGAGGAAAAGGAGATGATGACGTCCACCCAGTATATGACCACAAAGAAAGTCACCAACAACAGGACGGTCTGGGTGGCCCTTCTCTCTGGGGAGACTCGTGAGGAGAAGTGGGTCCTGTGAAGGTGCTGGCACTGCCTCTGATGCCTGGACAAGAGAATAACCATGTATGCACTTGAGAGCAACATGGCTCCTATAAAGAAAACATCCCTGGATAATGAAAAAGTGAAAAACAGTCCCCTGGTGATGGAGCTTATGCGAGAAAGTGAGCAGTATTTACTGACATTCAGTAGGTTGCTCTGGGTCACATTAAAAGAAGCAGCAGTATACAAGAGGCAGTTACTATTGAGAAAAAAACTGAGAAACCATAGGATGATAAAAGAATGGAATATGTACTTTGTACACTTATGTTTAAACCTAGCCAACCAGGAGTTGATGGGGCTGATGATGATGGCCTGGAGGATGCTCAGGAGGCAGGTAGTGCTCATGGAGAGACCCCGTGTCACTCGGATCATGCAGAATAAAGACTTACATTTGAAATCATTCATAAAGTTCAGAGCTTCAAACAAGTCTGTAGACAACAGAAATAGTGCAGTGAATAGTTTCATTATGTGGACAAAGGCCACGTGACAGACGATCATGTCAGAAGGCTTAGGCCTGTGATCCAGAAGGAGCATTAAGATGTGGAGGAGAAGGAGGAAGGTGTTGGCAAAAATTCCCATACCAATCAGTAAAAATTGTCCTATCTTAATAGTAATATAAATGGAAGATGTCATCATCACAGTGGCCAAGAAAAACATACTTTTGTGTATCTGAAAAAAATTAGAATTTATATCATAAATATCATTTACTTTGTGATCAAAATCATCACCACAAGTTTTATTTCACCCAATTAATCATTAAACCTACATCACATAATTCTTAGAAATACAGTCTCAAAATTATTTGTCTAGACAAATATACACCTACGTATCTGTCATCTCTATCTTTCTATCTATCTATCATCTATCTATCTATCTATCTATCTATCTATCTATCTATCATCTATAACATACGTATCATCTAACTAGGGAGAAAGAGAGAGAAGGAAAGAGGGAAAGGAGAGAGAGGGAGAGAGAGAAAGAGAGAGATCTCATATTCATATTCATGCCAGGACAATATACACATTTTCCCTACTCCTATGGTGCATTCATTTCTTCTTTAAAAAGTTTTGCTTTATTGTTCTGCCTTATACTATACCATATTTAGTATTAAGAATATTAATATCTATATAAAGTATGCACATGTGTTTGTATAGTTGAACTGATGTACATTTTATGCTAACAGGGAAAGAATTACCAAACAAACAATTGAGAAAAGTAATGCCCAAGTGAGTTTTCCATCACATATTGTGACACTTTTCTTCTTCCTTCCACATGTAGAAGCCATTGTTATTATGTTTGGCTTATTCCGATAACTCAGCATAATCTTACCTTAAAATCACATAATTGTTAATCATCCTTCTATCTACAACCTTAATTATCATTGTCATACAACCTAATGTATTCATATAAGGGATATGAGGGTTTTGATGTAGACATCCAGGGGATAGAAATAATTATTTTATTAAAATCCTATTTTAAAAATTTATTGAACATGAACCTGGCTCATTCCCTTTTGTTTTCATTCACAGTGATTCCTTCTATAAACTCTTTTTATATCAGTAAGGAATTGCTGAATACCATATCTTTTCAAGAGGACAATTTTCAATTTTCAGGAGGACAAAAACACAATTTTCCACTTTATGACATCCACAGAGTTGTATCAAAATGTTTACAAGGAGATCTTTTTGGGGTTTTTATTTAATAAAAGGATATACTCCCATTCCATTAAAAATCTCCCAATAGGGGCTCCTTGGTGGATCAATCAGTTGAGTCTGACTCTTGACTTCAGCTCAAGTCAGTCCTGTGTCAATCTCTGCACTGACAGCTCAGAACATTCTTGGGATTCTCTCCCTAAATCTGTCTCTGCAGCTCCCCACTCAAAATACATAAAGAACAACTTCAAAAATGCTCCAGTAAAAATATGCTTATCCTCATGTCTCATCAGGATATTTTCAATATAAGAATACTTTGTAAAATGTCAATAAACAGGCTTGCAATTATTTTATCATGTTATTTGCCTTGTGTGTAGACATAATTATTTTGTCCAATTAATGGATCCAGGACTTAAACTATTTATCTATATTAATCATTCTATTTATTCTTCTTTTGAGAGGAAAGAGTACTCACTTTTGTTTTCACTGAGAACATTTTGAGAGTGAGTTTTCTTGGCTGAAACTCAGAATGTCATTGCTAAGGTAAAATATTGCTCTAAAACCCCTGATATATGTGGTTTTTTAAAGAAGTAATAGTGCATGTGATTAAATGTCTGTAACTATTTTTCAAAAAATGTATTATGTGACAAATTTATCTTCAATATCAGAAACAAACAAACAAAAAACCTAATAGTTGCCACAAACATATCTGGACACAAAGAACACTTGGGTTCTGCTGTCACACTAGGGAGTAGGGTGAAATTTGCTTAAAGACACAATGATCTCCAAGTTTGGGGGATCAAAGTCCATTCTCACTAAACCAACATTTGTGTTTTAGCCACTAACATAAGTGCAATTATTTAATAAGTGTATATATGAATAATTTAAAGATATAAGACATGTATCACAAGCCATATCACAAAAAGAGGGAAATATATTCAATAAAATGATATGAATAAAATATTAAATTTTTATTCTACCAGATTATGGTATATATGGCTGGCTGGCCACCTCTAATTCACCCTTGCTCTCTGTATATGGCTATCACATACTAAAACACACTCCTGCTGAACAAATGAATAATGTTCTTTTTTTCCCCCAATGACAGTCTTGATGGTTTTCTTCTGTGTTTTGCATAGATTTTGGTTGGGGAATAAACTGTAAAACACTCAGTTAAATTTCATTATCAAGCAAATGATGATTAATTATTTTGGTAGATGTATGTCCTAACTATTGCTTACACATATCACATGAAAACATGCAAGTATTGCATAGTGGTCCGTAAAAGTCATTGCCACTTTTCTGAATTTCAATTTCAGCATCTTTTGCTTATATTCAGTTAATCTGGCAATGCTGCTAAGGAAAAATCATGAGATTTTGAAAACATGAACTACATCTGGAGAAATAAAATGTTTTAAAATGTAGATTTGATAGAATGGTGAACATGTATAGGGGAACATGGACCTGGCTCAAATGTTGAAAACTTATAAATCTAAATGCACATCTTAGCACTCAGTCTAAGGAGAGACAACTAGTTTGGGGCCAACAGTGCAAACCATGAACAGTTCCACGAGACAGATAATGAAGATGAAATTCCTTCTAAATTGTTTGGTCTCACTTGAGGGTATTTTCAATTTTTTAAGTCCAAATTATGTACATAATCATAGATACTAATAGTGGGTAAATGTCACCGTTAAATAAACCTGGCATAAACACTAATCATAATTTTTTAAATGACATCAAATATTAGATATCCCCCTTGAGGGATAATGAAAGGAAGAATTCATTTATAAAAACCCAAGTCATATTTTTAGGTAGATTATATGTTATATAAGAGAAAATAAAGTTTGAGAAAAATTGATTTCCTCACAATTATAAAAAATCTGTCATTGAGAGTTGTATTTAATAAATCTTATATTTATACAATTCTTTCCAGACTGCCCCACACACTATGTATAATCAATATGACAAATCATATGCTATCTTCTGTTTTATTATTGCATTAGTCAATAACATATCCTCCATTAATTTTACTGTATTCTATTTAAAAACATTGCAAAACCTATGACTAGCTATTGAGAGCATAAAGTCATTATGAGAATTTCAAGTGAAAAGGTGCAAGTAAGTTGGTTGGTTCAGTGGTGATAGTTGCACTATGATAAACAGAGCTGGCAATTTCAAAAAGAAAAAAAAAACTACGTATGTAAATTCCATGAAGTGTTTTTCTAAAAGGTACCAATGCAAAAATAATATGTTAGTCATCATACACCATTGAATAACTGAAAAGCATCTGAAATTAGTTCTGAAGTACAGAGGAAAACACAATACTTGCTGACAAAGATGTCATTCCTTTAAGGCATTTAATTCTCAGCAATCCTGGGGAAGAGCATAATGAGAAAATGTGAAAAGCATTTAAAATCAATGGAACTCAGAAAAACACAAATATTAACTATAAATATATAAATTTATACTCCAATAACATTAATTAAATTCACCTATAATCTGGAAACATCAACTGATGGTAGTTAAAATTCAATAAGATATAAGACTGAAACTATAAGAAGAGAATTCTAACATTTCAACATACACACAAAAAAATCCTCCCTCATCTCACCTCCCATCTGAGTCTGGAACACTCACAGTTAGTGAATCTGAGAAACAGTCACTTACCTGAATGAAACTTTAGAGTCAGAATGTTTGTGGGAAATGGAACTGCAACAAGAGGTTATAGGTAAAGATTGTCCTCAGCTCATCTCCCCAGTGCCCATATGTGTCATGTCTCCTGTAGAAGTAGGACAGCCCTAGCTTTGGGATATTTATGGAGGACAGAACAACAGGGAAGACTGAAATTATTCAGTTCCTGGGTAATAATGAGAAACACCTGGGTTCCAAACTTTTCTACATGTAAGATCATTTCCCTAGGTAACCTTTGTAGGAGTTTTATGGTCTCAGTATCTGTCAACAAACTCAAAGTTTTTGAATACCACGAACTTCAAATGAGTACAACACCATGTCAGATTGCCCTGTGTATCCCTGATGATTCAAGAACGTTCAGAAACCTTCACATGTGTTGTAAATTGGTCTCAGAATCCTGGCTAGGTGATATCATTTGGGAATGAATAGTGTATCCACCACTTCACTTGGGAGAATTAATCATTTTGTGATTCAAAAAATTTTCAATATCAACAACAAGATCATGACCCAAGCTGAAATCAAGAGTTGGATGCTTAATCACCTAGTCCACCTCAGCACTCTTTCTTTTTATAGTGTATTGTCAAGTTGGTTTCCATACAACACCCAGTGCTCATCCCCACAAGTGCCCTCCTCCATGCCCAGCAATCCCCTTCCCCTCCCCCCAATCAGCCCTCAGTTGGTTCTCAGCATTCAAGAGTCTCTCATGGTTTGCCTCCCTTCCTCTCCTCCACTATTTTTCCTCTTCTTCTCCCCCATGGTCGTCTCTTAAGTTCCTCCTAATCCTCCTATATGTGCAAACATATGGTATCTGTCCTTCTCTTCCTGACATTTCACTCAGCATAACACCCTCAAGTTCAATCCATGTAGTAATTATTTTTATAGGGAATTCAGCACTATGCCAGGACATCTGCATTTTGTGAAAATTGTAACCTGCCTTTCAACATCTAATCCTCTACCAACTTGGCCAGATGCACTTAGTAAGTAAAAATTAAAAGTTCATCTCCATTCAAGCATCACTTAAGGATGAGGTATACACTCTCATTGCCACAGTGTCTCATTTGACATAGATTTCTAGGCTCCTGTGGCACTGTATTCTGTAACTCCCTATTCTTTTCCTCACTTGTTTCCTTTTATAAGACTCTTTATTTCATACATGCTGCACTAAGGAAACAATTCTAGAAACTTACAAAGTATTTGCTTTAATAATACCCATCCAGAACAACTATTTTATAATTAAGTTTAACTGTAATCCTTAAAATGATTGTTGTTTTTGTGATCTGTTTTCTT